TGGACCCCACCAGGTGGTCCCAGGCACCCTGGGTTGCCCTGCTGTTGCCTTTAACTTGTGTGGCTGAAGGTGGTTTCAGCACCAGCCCCCTCTCTGCATCCCACAGCTGGAGAAGGCGAGGCTCGGGAGCTCTGTGAGCATCCTGGTAACCAGGCACAGGGACATACCGTACTGCAAGGAGAGATGGGAAATGTAGTTTTTAGCCGGGTAGCCACGTGCCCAGCCACACCTTGGGAATTACGTTACCAAAAAGAAGAAGTAGAAATTGGGTTTTGGGAAACCTCTGTCCCCACAGCTTCTTAGGAAGGCGTGTGTGGGCTGAATCATGAAGTACTTTATAGGGAGCTGGGAGGTTTTTTTTTTTTTTTCCTTTTTTTAAGTTTATTTATTTTGAGAGAGAGTGAGAGAGAGCATGAGCAGGGGAGGGAGGGGCAGAGAGAGAGAGGGAGAGAGAAAATCCCAAGAAGGTTCCACATTGCCAGCATGAAGCCCCATGTGGGGCTTGAACTCATGAATCGTGAGATCAAGACCTGAGCCGAAATCAGGTGCCATGTTTTAAAAACATCTTTCCACAGATGGGTCCAGGGGAGGTGTGGCTGGCAACCATAGAGCTGTTGTAGTAACTGGAGAGTGGAGAGATACGAAGGGCTCAGTCCACCCTGACAGCTGGGGTGAGCCTGGCCTTTCGAAGGTTTTACATGCTGGGGCTCGGTGGGTTCTGGGCTGTGGTTGCTGCACACTTGCCAGAAGCCAGGGACCTGTTGGGGTCCGAGTTCAATCAGTAGGCTGATACCTTATCCGAGAACACGTTTTAATGTTAACGATGTGGCTTGGAGCTTTGGAGAAATGATGGCCGTTAGGAGCATAAAGGGGTCCTTTCCTCTAGGTTTGGCCAACAGTGTTCTTTTACACCTTGAGCTTGAGTCAGTAAGCCCCAAGAGAGGGGGCAGGGACATCCTTCTCAGGCCCCTGATCCTTCGTGGTCCTGCAGACAAGTTACTTTACTTCTCCGTTCTGCTTCCCGTGCTCTGGAAGGAACATTCTGACATCTCCCTAATTTGTCAGTGTGTTTAATTGAACATCCCGACCATACTTACGAAGTTGTCTCCCTGTTTAGAACAAAAACTTCCTGATCAGAATATGCTGGGAAGTCGTCAGCGTTTCTCATGCGCCTGCCTGGGAGATGGGCTGCAGAGGGCAGAGGGAGGGGCACGGCTTTCAGTCGGACAGCTGAGGCTTCTCGAACGGGATCTGCCACTTACCTGTGTGGCCTTGACCAACAAGATATTCCATAGCCCCTGTGAATCTCAGCTTCTGCATCTATAAACCAGAGCCAATATTATGTGTGTCCCAGATTTCTTGGAGGGTCAGGGAGTGCCCTGAAGGCAGCTGGCTTGGGCCTGCCACAGTACAGAATTCCTGGGGAATTCTCGGAGGCTCTCTTACTATGTTTACTCAACCTCAGGCCTTGGTACGTCTTCTCCATGCGGCAAATGTGGCGTCCCCTCCACTGGAGGTCCCCAGGGCTTATGGTCTCTATAATCCTTCCCTATGCTCTGATTCTCTGGGCCGTCCAGGCAGCTGAAAACTTGCCGTGTTTATATGACTGGTCACATTATGGCAAAATCAAGTACACAGAGTTTTTTAAAAAGACATTTTCGCACACTCTCACTTTTTGATACTTTTATCTCGCCGGCCATCATGTGCTTCTAGGAAAATGATGTCTCTTGGGCATAAGGACCCACATTGTAAATAGGTTGACCTTCAGCCCTGGAAATGTGGAAGGACAGGTCAAGGCTCAGAGTTTGAGCAGCTGCCAACATGCTCAGAAGTGACACGTTATTCTTAGAAGGGATTTTTGTTTAAGATTGTTGCCTTCCCCACCACCCAAAGCAGTGACGCTGGAAGATTCTAGCCTGTTGTGAGGGTGAGTCACTCAGGAATGTGTTGGTCTCCTGCCTCTCTCCCTAGGCATAGGCTGGCACGGTCCTTTGTGGAGCCTGTCCATGTTCAGTTGAGAGATGCCACCAGCTGGGCATCAGCCCTCCTTGACCCCACGTCCCCTTTTCACAGGGCTGCCATTTTGTAGCCATGAGGCCTGTCCTCAAGACGAGCATTGTGGGAACTTACTCTTCACCTGATGGTGAGAGAAGGAAATATTCACTTAATTATGGGCCCACCTTGAGCCTCTTGGTGGCGTTTTGTTCTTTTTTTTTTTTTTAAAATTTTTTTTTCAATGTTTATTTTATTTTTTTTGGGACAGAGAGAGACAGAGCATGAACGGGGGAGGGGCAGAGAGAGAGGGAGACACAGAGTCGGAAACAGGCTCCAGGCTCCGAGCCATCAGCCCAGAGCCCGACGCGGGGCTCGAACTCACGGACCGCGAGATCGTGACCTGGCTGAAGTCGGACGCTTAACCGACTGCGCCACCCAGGCGCCCCTGTGGCGTTTTGTTCTTGGCGGGAGGTGGGAAGAAATAGGACACATCTGTCTTGAGGTTGGGCTGTGGGCTCTGTCCCCGGGGAGGAGGTAACCTCTATTCGAGGCAGAGCGGCTCCGGTCTGGTTTCCACTGGCTGCAATGCCAAGAGCACTTGCAGTGGCATTTCCCACGTTAGGCAGAGAAATCAAATGTTCAGATGCTGTCCCCACCCCCACCTGCCAGTCCCAGAAGCTCCAAGTAAAATTCTAAATGTCTTCACTTTGTATTTATTTTCTTCTCTTTCGTCGGTGCTCGAAAAACCACACTGACTTCCTGAATCGAAATGCTCTGCAAAGAAGCTTTGCAAAGTAAATTGAGCAAGAAGAGGGTGTGTGGGGTGGTAGGAGGGAGAGGGAGTCTGACGGGTCTCAGTGGGCTCCTGCCCAAAGGGAAACACTGGGGCACTGAACGCTCTCTTTACCTGTGCTTCTGTGTTTTTTTTTTTTTCCCCTGCTGTGTGGCCTTAGACCCGAAGGACACAGGAATGTAGGTAAGTCTCTGGCATAGCTATTCTTCTGGGCACAGATGTCACACTCTGCTGGAGTGTGAGCGGCCACATGGCCACTGCCCCGCCGCTGCCTTTGCCTTGGTTCAGCCCGGAGAGGAGCAAAGGGACCGGTCTTCCCTGCTGTGCCGGCTTCGGTCTCCAGCAAACCCCTGCCCCGGGCCCTTCCTGCTCCCTCCGCCCCCCACCCCCAAGCTTGCCGCACCCCGGGACCAGCAGCCCGGGACCCACACTGTTTGCTCCACTCATTTCCTCCGTGTGTGTTCAGGCCGGACCCTCCTCCTTTCCTTCCATGCCTCCTTCCACGTCCTCGGGCATGACTCATGACTGTGATCTCTTGTCAGCACCTCTTGCTTATTTCCCCTTGCTGTTGTGTGGTTTCGTTGATCTCCAGAGGTTTTCTTCTCCTCCCTGCACTTCGGAGAGGGACAGGGGACGGGAGATTGAATCCTCTGCTCTGCCCTCCACCTTGACCCAGTCCCCCACCTGTGTTTACTACTGCAAGGCAAGACCATGGTGCAATAACCTTCTGGAGAATTGCTCTTATTCTATTCTTATCTTTTGAGTGGTTTTTCTCTTGGAAGGCTCATTCCTAGAACAAGAGACCGAGTTAACTCTCTTCTTTTGTCCAGCCATGAGCACCATAGGTGCTTCCGTTTATTTATGGGTTGACAAGACCGCCACTGCTTACACCTGCCATTTACCATCGTGGGTCCCAGTCAGTATATGACTGATGTCAGAATCAGCTGAGAGATAATCAGCACTCACCCATTAGCATTTATTATTTTTTAAAGTTATTTGTTTATTTTGAGAGAGAGAGAATGTGTGTGCTTGTGGGAGGGGCAGAGAGAGAGAGAGAGAGAGAATCCCAAGCAGGCTCTACACTGTCAGCACAGAGCCTGAAGTGGGGCTCGAACTCATGAACCATGAGATCATGACCTGAGCTGTAACCGAGAGTCAATGCTTAACTGACTGAGCCACCCCGGTGTCCTCCCATTAACAATTATTTAATTCCTTCTTCCTAGGGGTAGAGAAATTGCCTAAGATTGGGTTTATCCTGGGTACTTTGATTTTTTTTTTTTTTATAACAGTTTAATTAAAAGGTCTCTTTAATGTGCTTTATATGGATTGATTCACCTTCACAGGCCTTATGGCGCACCCCCTGAGCGCAGTCTGGGCCAGGACCTATGAGGGGTGAGGGGGTACAGGTGGTGGATTGAGAACAACTGTTAATGGAAATTTGCCATCTCACAGGGAGATGGGTTGAGTACTAAACTACCCAGAGGACAGAGCTTAATAAGGGCAGCAATAGAAGAGCTGACAAAATGCTGTGTGAATATAGAAGGGAGGAGAGAGGTTAGCTCTGCTTGAGGTGTTCAGAACACCAGCATATCTGGGAAGAGGTGGTATCCCAGCTCTGCCTTGACGGAGGGACACCGGTTACTTTGGTTGGAAGCCCCACAAGAGTACAAGCGTTGCAAGCACAGGACCATAACTGTTGTGTTTACTGTTGCATTTCCTGTGTCTCTGGGACGCAGAGTGTATTTGGATGGATGAATGGAAAGAAGTACGGGTGGATAAAGTTGAGTGAATGAATTAAATGGAGGCAGAATCCTACGTGCGGGGGGTGGGGGGTGGCTTGAATGGTAAGAGTGGCAGGAAGAAGTTGGGCATATTGGTGAAATTATAACTGGTTTGGCTTATACGTAGAATGATTGAAAGAGAATGGTCGGAGGAAGGGTTGGGAAGGATGACTGAGCCCAGAAAGCACAGGAGTTGTGGCTTTACTTCGAAGAAAGTGGGTGGCTTTCTTTGAAGAAAGTGACTATTTCAGGTGGGTGTTCTAAATTTTGAGAATGGAATTTAAATAGGAAAAAGACGCCCGACGTGGCCTCGCCTGGCCTCTCCGTGCTGTAAGTAGCCGAAGACACCTGCTGCGGCCACAAGGTCATTGAGTTTAGCAGCGAGGCCGAAACCAGTCCGGGCTCTCACTTTGCCATCTTCTTGCCTCCAGACGTGTGCAACAGCACCGATCTTCCGGAAGTCGAGATCATCAGCCTGCTGGAGGAGCAGCTGCCCCATTATAAGTTAAGAGCTGACACCATCTACGGTTATGACCACGACGACTGGCTCCATACGCCCCTCATTTCTCCAGATGCCAACATTGACCTCACGACCGAGCAAATTGAAGAGACGCTGAAGTACTTCCGTGAGTAGTTCCCTTTGGTCTGGTCCGTGACGGGCTGTGCTGGTTAGCCGTGGCCCCACGTGGGACTTTGTACTGCTTAGCAGGTCTTACGGCCTACCATTCGTGGATGAGTGTGCCAAGAAATGTGGCAATAGGATTTAGCTACATGCAAGGCCTTGACTTTGAGTGTTCTGAATAGAAGTCTTAGAGTGGTGGGGACTAAGTATGAATTTTCATGTGAGCTAGTTTTCTCTTTATTTATTTATTTATTTATTTATTTTTTATTTAAATTTTTTTTTTTCAACGTTTATTTATTTTTGGGACAGAGAGAGACAGAGCATGAACGGGGGAGGGGCAGAGAGAGAGGGAGACACAGAATCGGAAACAGGCTCCAGGCTCTGAGCCATCAGCCCAGAGCCCGACGCGGGGCTCGAACTCCCGGACCGCGAGATCGTGACCTGGCTGACGTCGGACGCTTAACCGACTGCGCCACCCAGGCGCCCCGAGCTAGTTTTCTCTTAACTGTACAGAAGAATTTGAAAAGGCTCCCATTTTCCCCCCTTATCAACATACCATGTGAGAACCTAGAAACCCTCACTGGGAAGGAGTTTGCATTTAAACCAAAGGTACTGGGAGCATCTTGGCTGCTTAGTATTATTGGTATGACACAGCAAGACACATATACCAAGGCTGATAATTTATTTTGTATTTTTTAATTGAGGTGTAATTGACATATAACATGATATTAATTTCAGGTGTACAACATGATTCAATATTTGTACACACTGCAAAACGATCCCCACAGTAGGTCTTGTTAACATCTCTCCCCATACATAGTTACAGAAAAAGTTTTTTTTTTTTTTCTCATGGGGCGCCTGGGTGGCTCAGTCAGTTGAGCGTCTGACTTCGGCTCAGGTCATGATTGCTGCTGTCACCATGGAGCCCACTTCAGATCCTCTATCCCCCTCTTTCTGTCCTTCCCCTATTCGTGTTCTCCCTCTCAAAAATAAATAAAAAACATTAAAAATGAAAAAAATTGAAATAAAAGATTAAAAAAATTTTTTCTCATGAAAACTTTGAAGATCTATCAGCAATTGTAAATACGCAGTATAGTGTCATTAACTATAGCCACCGTGCTGTATATGATATCCCCATGACCTATTTATTTTATAACGGGAAGTATGTACCTTTTGACTCCCTTCACCTATTTCTCCTATTCCTTCCCCCCAACGGCCCCCAACTCCCTGCCCCTGGCAACACCAGTCTGTTCTCCATATCTGCGAGCTTGGTTTTCCAAGGCTGATGGTTTCTGTGTGAGAGCCCACTAGGCTGGTTATTCAGGAAAGTCAAAATGCTGCTCCCACAGCAAACCAGTCATGCCTTGGGCTGCAGAAGCTGACACCTGGTAGGGTGAGAAGCATACTAGGGTTTGTTTGTTTGTTTGTTTTTTCTCCCAGTGTGTGATGCCAAGGGTGTGAAACCTGATTTTGCAGATTTGGGAAAACATGTGATAATTTAAAAAACTCAGGCTCATGATGTTTCCAGTGTTCATTCAAGAGGTGCCTTTGTAGAAATAATTGTACCCTTTAGAAATTCAGTGTAGCCCTATCAAGTGGGTAGGACAGACGAGCCCTCCTTGGTCATGATACTTCAGACTTTTGAAAATTCAGGTTAACTTTAGCCCAGTCTAATTGGTGACGTCACTTTCAAGGTGACATCTTTACATACCTGCGTGTCATTGTGCCACCTTTGAAATAAAAAGTACAGCAGTTCTGTTTCTACTTGGTGGTAACTTGGTTCAAAACCAGCTCATGATACAGCTGTAAGTTTCTGTCACTATTTTTTCAATACAGAGTGATCTCCAGTGTTCTTGAATTTGTGAAATCGTTTATAATAAACAAGTTGGAGCTTCAAGTTTCTTTCTTAGCATGTATCTGGGGCTGTTTTCACATTTTCTCTATTGGATGTTAATGAGAAAGGAATTTTGTTTAAACTGACCTGTGTTTTTATACTTAGGGCAAATCCTACAAGTCTCTGTGAACACTGTAGATATCAGTTGCAATAGGAATAAAAATAGAATTATCCACACCAGGGCACATAGTTAGCACATAAGACTTGTACCAGTGTTCACGTCAGAGCTTTAGTATTCCCAGCATGTCTGGTTGTGTACAGGAAGCTCTTTGCCAGTCACTTTTGTTGACTCACGGTATCTGTAACAACAAGAGACGTGGGGTTGGGTGGAAAACTGTGTCCGGAGTAACCTCCTTGGCAGGTTCTCTATTTGGTTCCTTCAGACTTCTCTGCGGTGGGATTCGCCACAGAACCACTCTTTCAAAAATCCCTGTGTGTTCCTTACTCTTCTTTACGAGACCCTCCTGTGATTCTGCAGGACCCCGCGTGGCCACTTCTGGCGCGGGAGGCTCCTGGGTCCCTTCTCCTGCACAGATTAAGCACGTACATTCGCAGCATCACGGGAACCATCCATGGGCAGTACTTACCTGTCTGCAGAGAACTTCCGTTTGAATTGCCTCCTTCATCCCTGTGAAATGTCTGCAGTTTGGGCAAAGCTGATCTGATTATCGAGGAAGAGGAAGCATGGAGGGCTCCTAGTGTTTGTTCCGTAGCACCAACCTCCAGCTCCTAAAATCCTCGTTTAGGCCCGTTTCCACATGTTCATTCTGCTTTTAGTTATATATGTGAGAGAGGGAGAAGAAAGAAATCCTGGTGGATTTGGTAGTGGGTAACACAAATTATACTAAAATTGGAAGAAGCGAAATAAACACTGAGCAGAGATTCTGAAAATTCTTAAGAGGGTGGTTGCATCCCAGTCTTGCTTTGTATTTTCTTCTGTGGTACTTGCACTTCGAGCCAAGTAGGTGTTGCTAACTGTTGGTTAAATGAATGATCAGAGGTTAACTCTTGTTTTTTGTTTTTAATTTTTTTTTAATGTTTATTTGTTTCCGAGACAGAGACAGAGCATGAGTGGGGGAGGGGCAGAGAGAGAGGGGGACACAGAATCCGAAGCAGGCTCCAGGCTCTGAGCTGTCAGCACAGAGCCCGACGCGGGGCTCAAACTCACGGACTGCGAGATCATGACCTGAGCCGAAATCAAGAGTCAAGACACTTAACCGCTGAGCCATTCAGGCTCCCCCGCAGGTTAACTCTTAAATACAGCGTGCTCTTGAGCAGGACTTTCAAACTGAGGTCCTGGGACCTCAGGTCTGTAGAGGGAAATTGGGGATTCTGTGGACTTGTAAGGAAATGAAATTACATCTTTCTTTTCATTAACTTCTGACTGAAATGCAGCATTTCCTTACACTGTGAACATAGAAAAGAAAGCACAGTGGTATTAGCAGGACCTGTGACTTGGTCACCGATAGAAATCAAGATTTTCATGTCATGCTACAGTGGAAACAGATTCTTTGAAATACCGCTTTTACTCATCACTGCTTTGAAATTGCGTACATTAGGTGTGCTGAGAGATCTTGTTATTTTATTCATTTGTTTGCTCGTTTATTTATTTATATTTGAGAGAGAGAGACAGACAGACAGAGTGTGAGTGGGAGAGGGGCAGAGGGAAATGGAGTCAGAATCCAAAGCAGGCTCTAGGCTCTGAGCTGTCAGCACAGAGCCCGACATGGGGCTCAAACTTGTGAACTCGTGAACCGCGAGATCATGACCTGAACCCAAGTCCAGAGGCTTAACCAACTAAGCCACCCAGGTGCCCCTCGATCTTATTACTTAATACATTGATAAAGAAGCTCTTGTATCACAGACTTTTTTCAAGTTTTAGAAACTGCATTATAATACAGCTGGTTTCCTTTGTAGTCCTTTGTACTTTATCTTCTGTTTTCAAATCTTTCTTCTGAGGTGTCTGTGAGCCTTGCCGAGCTGGCTGAGCGGTCGGTCGAAGGCACAGATCAGGAGCCCTGCTGGGTGCGTGGTGTCCATTTTGGGTTTCATTGTTTGTTTACACACGTGTAACCCAGGTGATACGGTGGCCACAGTACTGTGACTCACCAGTGTGTTAAATCAGTGGTGAGGTGTGTTAAGAAGATAACAACTGTTTCCTTTTAGATTTACTTTCTCATCAGTTAGGGCAGTGGTTCTCTGTTGTGGGTGGGAGTGGGGATAAGGGGTTACCCTAGGGGTTCTGATAATAGGGGATGAGGTAAAACTCAGCTCCCTTTCTTACATGCCGTCCCCCAGACTAGAGACAGTGCTTTGCCTTTTGAATCTGGTGTTCAGCTGGTTTGTTTCTTTTTATTTTATTTTATTTTATTTTATTTTTTACTTTATTTTACTTTATTCTATTTTTTTTATTCATTTTTTATTATTTTATTTTATTTTATTTTATTTTATTTTATTTATTTTTTTATTTTATTTATTTTTTATTTTATTTTATATTTTTTTATTTTAGTGGGCTCCATGCCAAATGTGGGGCTTGAACTCACAACCCGGAGGTTGTGAGCCACATGCTCTACCAACTGACTCAACCAGGCACCCTTCACCTGGTCTGTTAAGAAGTGTCCACATCTTTGAGTGTCTACCTTTACCAGATGGTAGAATGACCTTTTCAGACAGATTTTAACAGGCAGGTTGATTTTTTGACTCCTGATGAGTCTGCAGACATACCTAAATATGGGATGTTTAGGCTTAGACGGTCTAAGAGGAAGAATGAAGAGTCAACTTTGCCCTTAGTGTGTATGAGGCACTGTTTCTAATTCTTTACATGTATCTCATTTAATTCTCACACTGACCTCTGAGTGAAAGAGTTTTGCTGCCCCTGTTCTATAGATGAGGACACTGAGGCACAGGGAAGTTAAGAAACTCGCCCAGAGTCACACAGCTACCAAGGTGGGGTGCTGAGTTTCAAACCTAGGTTGTCTGGTTTGGACTTCGTATCTTAACTACTCTCTCAGTAGCTAAACGAGAAAACAGTTGTAGTTTAAGAATAAAGTCCATTTGATACTCCTGAAATCATTGTTGCAACATGTGCTAATTAACTTGGATGTAAATGA